TGTCAATCGCATATGACATCGTTGTTGTAACTGAATACTTATTACGTAGTTAGTGTTTACTTAAGGATCCCATGAAAATTAGGTTACCAGTTGAAGATACGCTCACTTTACTTTTCCTTGGGATAAAATGTAGTGCCCCATTTCGAAATTGCATGTACGCTCCACAAAACTTTGTTGCCGAATTCCGCATCTTAATTTTTAATAATATAATTCTGCTCAGGTGCCATCTCCGCTATGCTTTTTCTGTCAAGAGCCAGAAACCACTATTAAATTTACAAGCATCTTTACGTTTCACCAGCAGTAGAAAAAAACAATGGGAGATTTTAATATGCAATATCGTCGTGACTATTATTTTGAAAACATTATTTTTTCCGAGGCTACTTTCTGAGCCATAGCAGCAAGAACATCCGCACAGCCACCTGCAATTTACTTAGAGAGACGAGAAGATTTTCTTGCTATATACAATTCTTAATGGAAGTATCGTTTTTCAAAATAAGTGATTATTCATTAGAGTTCTATAAATGCTTTACTTGTACGACCCTTTAGAATTGTTAAACATCGTTTCACCTGCATATCTGATGTATTCATTTACTTTCTCATATTTGAAATTCTTTTATTCTTAGTAAAATACCCACTGGTTTAACGGCCAATCCCCCCTGGTGCGTATGAACCAATTAAAGGCACTAGCAAGCAAGAAAGAATTACACGACTCACTTTTTAGGCGATTCGCATTGTGTGACGCATGATTTTTTATTTGCTGTGCTAAAATGCTTGATACTCTTATCAACGCGATTACTTTTCTGACATCAAACCTACCTATAGCAAGTTAACGAGCGAATCCCTGGCAGGAGCGTGACTCAGTGGTAGCATTTGAGCTAGCACGCAGTGCTTCCGGGTTTGAAAATCAAAATGTCAACACGTGTTTTTGATGTTTTTGTTTGAGTTTTTTCCTATTTTATGTGGTAGTTGCTACGGACACCGGTGATGGCGGCAGCAGTGTCGAAATCGGCGGTGGAAAATTATGGCACGGCACGTGACCCGTGTGTTGATCTCATCACAGCTATAACTGTTGTTATAACACAGGTGCTCCCGCATTGCGCGCTTCAATCTCCGAACCAGACCGGACAAATGAAAGCATAAAAAGGAACTTTTATTGATTGTGAAACGGGTTTTGTAGCTAGGAGTAGAGAGGGGTAAGAGAGCACTCCTTGTGCCCATGTCCGACTAGCTTTGCCGTGGTAAGTGGCAGTAGCAGACATATAGGAGCCCTTGCTACAATTCTCTTCTCGTAAGATTGCAGAGTCGCTGTGGGGGTTTCCGTTGACGCTTTGAATGCCATATCGGTACTTCGCCAGCATCCGCAGGTGGGTGTCTTGCGTCGGCCCCTGGACTGCTGGTCGTACTGGGGACACTACCTGCTTCGTGGACGGTTCTTTCTCTTCCTTGTTTTTTGGTCCACACTGCACCGGGCTTGACTGGGCCGAACGCACCTGATCAACGTGCCGCCGTACGGGTCCCTCAGGTGTACCAATGGTGACCATTCTGGCGCAGCATACAGATTTACCTCCCGGCCCGTAATTACGGACATAAACGGTGACGTTCACTGGCACCGTCCAGTCGTCCGTTTTGGTGGATGCTGCAGGAGTGGAGAAGGGGGATAATGCGGCTAAGTGAAAACGGATGTGGTAGCCCAAGAGAAGTTCAGAAATGAATTTTTCAGATTGAAGGGGAGTCGATCTGTTATTAAAAAAGGCGATCCACGTTATCTTCTATGCTATCTTTGGCCGTGTTTCTGAGGCCGTCTTTATTTGTGTGAACTGCCCCTTCTACTAACCCGTTCGATTGCGTGTGGTACACAGGCGTGGTCACATTAGTTATGTTGTTCTAGTTCGTGAATGTCGCGAACTCTTCACTGGCGAATTTTGTGCCATTATTTGTTACGTTGGTACGCAAATACCAAATAGACCAAATATATTCCTCAAACAGCTTACAGTAGCAGAAGTGCCAGCTCTCTTCTTTGGAACAGCCTCTATACAGTTGCTGTTGGCGTCTACAAGCACGAGGATCATTGTATCTACAATCGGCCCAGCAAAGTCAGCGTGTACTTTTTCACAGATCTCCTCTGTCTTTGGCCAGTTCCTTGTCGGTGCGGCAGCTGGCATGAGCAGGTTTGGATGCTTCTTTTACAGGAAGCGGATAGCCGTTCAATATCGCTATCCAGACCTGGCCTTAAAATTGAGGCTCGGTGACTGCCTTCATGGCAGAGGAACACTGATGCGTTTCATGCAAGTGTGCCAATACTCATGCGCACAGTTTTTCTGAGATCACAACTGTTTGACTCTAGTACAGTAAATCATGTGCTACAATCTCCTCCAGTTTTCGGTCAGAAAATGCTTTCATGTCTGCTTTTACAGTCTTACTTGCTGGTCAGCCCCACAGTTCATATCTTAGAACTTTTGATAAGATGTGGTCGATTGCCGTTTAGTGATATAGTATCCTCTGAAAAGATTTCCAACGTTAGGAGGTAATCAGCGGGCTCACCTCCAGCCTCCGTCTCACTCGTATTTTGGGGTAAGCGGCTCAGGGCAACTGAATTGATGAGCAGCTTGCTAGGACAATATTGTAGCCTATAGCAGAATCTTCCGAGATACAACGCCCACCGCTGAATACGAGCAGCAGCCAATGTCGGAGTATGGCTGTCACACTTCAGGAGCCCCAAGAGCGGCTGGTGGTCGGTGACCAAGGTGAACTCGTGGCCTGCGAGATAGTCCTGAAATTATTATACACCAAGCGCCAGAGTCAAAGGGTCTCTCGCTCCAGCAGTGAATAGTGAATAGTTTTGCTAGGCTTTGGTCAGCGTTCGGGAATGAAACCCGGTGGGTCTGTTGACGTTTCCCTTAGGATAGAAGTCTACAAGCACTCCTGCTTCCCGCACACTGCACTTTGCCATTAGAAACTCGTCCAGTGATTACTTCGACGTTAGAACCTCGTTGTAGTAATCGTCCAGTGTATTGACTACTCTTCATGAGGGAGAGCTTTGAGCTTCCTTGTTGCCAGCCTTCCTGCAAGCACTTGCCCGGTTTTGGTGTTCAGTGCTGCCGGCTGTGGCGGCCGCATTTTTGGGGGAGGCGAAAATGTTGTTTGCCCGTGTGCTCCAATTTGAGTACAGTTTAAAGATCCCCAGGTGGTTGAAATTTCTGGAGCACTCCACTACGCCCTCTCTCAGTGTCGTATGAAGGTTCTGCGATGTTAAACATCACATATAAATCACTCAATTGTGTTCAGCGCTCCAATAAGTAATGCCCTCTTCGTGGCCTGGTCGCTGAAAGCCGTCGCTTCGAATTAAACCTCTGCTTTGCTGATGTAAGCTCGCCTCTGAAAGTTATCTTTTTTGTCGTCATAACCCGGTAGCTGGTGATGCGTCATTGGAACAATTCTTTCAACAGCCGCTGCTCGGTCTCCGTTGCCTGGCTCGTTTTTGACTCCGAGAGTCTTTTGCACCTTCGTCGCCATTGCTACATTGTACGCGCTCACACAGTTCGCACTCCAATCTCCAAATGAGACGGGTCAAGTGCAAGCATAAGAAGGAACGTTAATTGATTGTACAATCGGGCTTTTACAGCCAGGAGAGGAGAGGGAGAAGTGAGCATTGCTTGCGCCCACGTGCGGCTAGCTTTGCCATGATAAGCGCAAATGGTATCTAATTACCATCTGTCACTAAAGCAGCGAAGTGCATTAAGGCGTGAGGGGTTGTTAAGTGCAACTCTGTCACCGTCAGTTAGCAGGTACTAGCTGAGTGTCGCTGTTACTCTCGATACTTTTTGACAGCGTTCTACGTTTAGTCAAAAATTTCCATCGTCAAGGTGAATTTTAAAACTGAAGCATTTTTAGCAAACTTCAACGACTTTGACCGCATCTATCTATCTATATATCTATCTATCTAGCCGCTAATGTTTGGGTGATCTCCTGGTCACCCCAATTACTTGGCGTGAATCAAAATTAGCATGACAGCCTAAAATGGTTCTATGCATATGACGCGCTTGTCAAGACAAGAATAATGTGACTATCCCGTCACGTTCGCAGTCAAACACTTTCCACCAGACACAGGCACATACCCTCGGGTGGGTATGTGCCGCTGGTCCGCGGGTATGTACCACAAGTGATTGTAACGTGGATTCCCAGCTACGTGGGATGGGCCGATTTTTCTTCCATAGCCCTCATGAAAGTAATCTGAAGAAGGTCATCCGCAGAACGCCTTTGACCACTGAGCGTCACAAGTTCATGTTGGCGCAGAGAAAATTTTGCTCTAAAACCAGTCAACATGCAGACCTCTTGCAGTGTGTTGCCTCCGATAAACACACGTACAAAACAAAGAAGTGCAGTGATGGCCAACTGGAGATCGCTCGTGAGCATACGCGACATGCCATGTACAATATAACGAAATTCATGCGCTAGAGAAGCACCGAAAAGTGCTATATGCAAGCACAACTAGGTGTGTTTCAACTTAAAGGGTGGGCAGTTAAAATTTAACCCACGTGGGACAGAAAACTCTACGCAAAATATTTGACCCTATAAATATGACCAATGTTTAGAACTCTAATCGTCATTCAACCTTTTTTGCGCCAGGCTATAATTATTCACAGCTTGGCGCACTCTCTAACAGTGTTTTTCCTCTCGCTGGCTTTTCATGTGTCAGCACGTACCAACTAGCTCAGTCCTTCGCCTCGGAAGAAGGGGTCTTAGAGGTGGCTATACTTATTCTAAAGGCATTTACCAGGCGCGGGTTGAACTTGAACTGCATCCCGAAGCGGTTGCCTTTTCACAAGAGATCGCTTTTTTATTTATAATTATTTTAAAGAAAGCTCTTGTGTAGCGCTGGTTATGTGCCAGTAACACGAAATTTGGTTGAAAAAAAGACGCTGGGAGGCCAAAACTGAACTGTGAATCAAGTTATAAATGTGTTAAGCACTAAGTAATAAGGGGTTGATTGGTGCAGGTACAGTCATAATTGTTCGCAAGTATGTAGGTACAGTCGGTGTAGGCACCGGCAAAATCGACTTAGAGGTTTGGGGAACGTGGACCAGCTAGAAAAAACCACTAAAGGTGAGTTATTTGCTTCCGCCGCAGCGCTTTCCACATAGCTGCCACCCTTTCCACAACAGCACTGCAGTATCTTTTTATAACACGCTTTCATTTCGCAGTACCAGCTATCAAATGCACTCACGAAAGCAGCAAAGTGAACAATCAATATTCATAATGATAAGTAAGGGGACGTCCAAAAGAAAATGAGACATGAACACTCTTTTACACGTTACTCAAGTACTTGTAGTGTAATTTTGTAATCTGCTGCATATATATCCTTCCAGATCGATTGATGTGGACTTTCAAGTAACAAGAAGTGGCAGCGAAATACACGTCCATGTCTGGCTTATACTAGCAAGTACTAGTTCTTCATGTTTTATTTCTAGTATATCTCTGAGATTTGGTAGTCTTGTAACTTTATTGTAAGCCTGCGTTAATTCTCTGACTCCGAAGTGTGTGTTAAGTGGAGCTTGCGAAAGGGCTAAAATTTTTGCTTGGTCTTAATATGAGCTTGCGTTATTTCAAAGCAATCCTCCAATTCTTTCATTTTACAAACACCTGAACATGTGCAATATTACCGGTTCTGTCTCATTCGGTAAGCAAAATGATAGTAAGTGTACTGTTCGGTGACCATTCTCGCCGTACATATGTATATCATCAATTTAATAATTTTGTTGAAATGAGGCGTTTCATAGAGCTCAAAATTTTACACCGAGACCTGCTGTGACCCCTAGCATCTGGGGGTACACACTGATGAAGAAAGACATGATTTACACTAAAACGTGCTATGCTTTTTTTAACTTTTATACTGAAACACCCGCAACAATATATGAATCACAGAAGGCTGTCTGAACTTGATGCTGAGAACTAACCAGCTTAAAAAAACTTTTCCTCATTGTTTTGGAGCAAAATCTGACTACCCCAGGAAATCAGTGGCTTCTTTTTTTCCCACTTTTCATTTGTTCTGTAAAAGTCACGTAAGGCTACTCTCATCTGTGTCTTAGAAGCACGTGCTATCCGCAAGACATCTATTTTCAATTGCACGTATAAAGGCTAACGTAAGGCATCGTCCTAAGCTTTATATTTCCGCATCTGCTTGGGCCATGTGACCTGCAGTATTTTTGTAAATAAAAATAAATGAAAGAAAATACAAAACTGCCTCAACTGTACACTTCGCCTTACCCCCGCCTGCATCTAGTCCTAACCCAAGTGCAGCTTTGCTTTCTATCAGCTTTGGTTAGGAGTTGTTTTCACGAAAGCATATACAGCCCTAATGAAAGATGCTGACAATGCGGCATTCGATGTTTGCAGTGCCTACGAACATATTGTCATGAGCATACTAAGGCCGAGAACCAGGAGTTTAACCTAATCAGAGCAACCAAAAATGTCCTCTTTTTCTTCACCGACAATACGAGTAGGAGCCACAATAACTTGTTCTTCAATCGTGGCTTGAGTTATCATTCCCTCTACCATGAAGCATCGTCTCGAGGCAAGGTTCAGTTTGACGTTGCTTAAATGCTTCCCGGACTTAGATAGTCAATTTCACCAAACAGCAACCAGATTGGGCAGAGAAATTCTCCCCAGTAATCCTGCCTTCTTTTCCAGGGCTCTCTCTCATCCGAGGTGCATTTTGTGAGTGCGACGTTGGCTGTTTTAATTAACAAAATGAACATACAAAGCGCGTTGCAAAAGTCAGGGGCGCAAGTCTTGCTGTGTGCGCATCTGTGCAAATAAGAAGTCAGTCAGTCTTGATCGTGTTTCATAATTCGGGAATCAACGCGCAACGACGCTTATGAAGACATGCTCAAGGAGAACTGAATTTGTGCGTCGCATTTCAATATACGTCGAATTCATATCGCCGAAGCACGGAATATCTCTGTCGCTGTGCGCACCTTGTTAGCTACGCACAACGACGCGTTTTCTGAGGAAACCGGAACAAGCTTGCAGCCTTGGTACATTTGTTCTTCTTATGTACTACAGGAGTCCTAATGATATGCATTGGGCTGACACAGCAAGAGGAAGCATAGCGTCCCCGTCGTCGCGCTTGGTCGACGAGACACGATCAGCTGTGCAGACAGCTGGCTCCCTACTTCTGAGACACGACCAGACACGATCAGAAAAGGGAAGCTCACCGCCTCTCGCGACTCTATTCAGTTTCCCCAAAAAAGCCGTTGCTGTGCGTTGTCGACCAGATAAGCAAAGCTACAGAGATATTCCATGTTTCGGCGACACAAGTCCGACGTATATTGAAATGCGGCGCACTTCTACAACGCACCGTTCATTTTGTTATTTAAAACCACCATCGTCCTAAAATGCACTCGAAAACAATGTCGCACATGCACTCGCAAAATGCCTCCTAATTGCAGAGGTGCGCACACAGCAATACAAGGCACCCCGAATTCTGCAGCGCGCGTTGTACGTCGATACCGTGACCAAGGCCACACGCACACTCGCAAATTGCACAGTGGACACCGTGGATGATACAGAGCCCTCAGGGGAAGGTACAGTACAAATACAGAGGCAAATTTCCTCGCCAAATATGTCCGCTGTCCGGTGACAACCAACCCATAATCGAGCAACTGACTTACGCAACGCTAAACAGAACCTTGCCCATCTTGATGCTGAAATGAAAGACACAAAAAATGAGATGAAGGTTACTATACAAACAAAATGAATGGTGTAACGCGAATTGGCGTAGTTGGTTGTGAAGTCAGGAGTCAAGTAAATAAATTAGGAAAGACCTAATTTGAAAAAAGAGTAAATAACTCTAGGAAATTGTGGAAACAATACGTGCAAACAAAAAGAGATGGTGTATTATGAGGCATGGAGTGCGACCTCGCCGGTGATCACCGCTAGTAACACACTCCCTCACTGGAGAAGGATTGGCCACACTGGTGCAGTATCTGTCCACTACCTCTTACAATCCTACGTCAATTACCTCATGACCCACAGTCGCCAGCAGCTGTGAAGCAACCGATCACGGCAGCGGTCTGATCTGCGACGCAGCAGAGGGTGCTAACAATATCAGGATCCGAACAAGCCGCCATTGAAACCTGAACTTGGCAACATTTAACGCTAGAACTTCATCTAGTGAAGCAAATCTAGCTGTACAAATTGAGGAGCTAGAGGGTGTTGAAATGGGATATAATAGGCCTCAACGAGGTAAGGAGGACAGATGACGTTTGTACAGTGCTACAGAATGGGCACGTCCTTTGCTATCGGGGTTTGTCGGACAGGAAAGAACTTGTAGTGGGGTTCTTAATTCACAGAAACATAGCTGGCAACATGAAGTAATACTTTAGCAGTAATGAAAGGGTGGTAGTTATCACAAATACACTCAGTCAGAGATACAAAATGAAGGTGGTACAGGCTTACGTGCCTAAATCCAGGCATGATGACGCTTCAGTTGAAAGCTTCTAAGAAGACGTGGAATCGGCAAATAAGTAAGATAAAGACACAATATATTATACTAATGGGAGACTTTAATGAAAGGTAGGGAAGAAGGAGGCTGGATACCAGGCAGTAGGAGATTATGGCATCGGTACAAGAAATGCCAAAGATGACCTACAAAAATAATTCCCAGAACGCAATAATTTACGTGTTTTAAATACCTTCTACCAAAAACGAAGAAACCGTACGTGGACATGAAGAAGCCCTATGGTGAAAATAACGAAATAGACTTTATGATGAGTGCCAACCCAGCCATCGTGCAGGATGGGAAAGTGGTCGGCAAGGTATGACCAGTGACCATAGAAGAGTATGGTCCCGAATTCGCGAGGACTTCATGAAGGAATGACAAAAACTGATACGCGAGAAGCCAATCAGCGAGCGAGCACTGAGAGCGAAAGCACAGAAAGTCAGAGTCTCGCTTCAGAACTGGTACTCGGCTCTTATAGAGGAAACTATCTTTAGCGTAGATGCTATAAATGATAATCTGACGAGTATCATTGCGGAGTGTGCAGTGGAAATCGGCGGCACGGTAGTTAGAAAAGACACTGGTAAGCTTTCTCAGTAAGCGAAAAATCTGATTAAGAGAGTCAAAGCATCATAGTTTCATGTACAACAGACAAAATAGAAATGGCAGGGCTTTCGAAGTTGATCAATAAGCATGATGTGTCCGAGGTAAGAAGATATAACATGGAGAGAATCGATCATGCTCTGAAAAACGGAGAGAGCGTCGAAGCAGTGCATAAGAATTTGGGATAGGTAAAAATTGGATGTATGCACTAAGGCACAAAGAAGGCACGATAACTATGAATATGAATAGGATATTTAAATTTGTGGAGGAGTTTTACAGAGATCGGTACAGTAGCCGGGACAACCACGACCCTAATGCTATAAAAACTAGCAGTAATCCACATGACACCCCACAAGCAATGATCGAAGTCAGAAAAGCTTTGGAAAGCATGCAAAGAGGCAAAACTGCTGGGGAGGATCAGGTAACATCACATCTGCTGAAAGATGGAGGACAGATTGTGTTAGAAAAACTAGCCATCCTGTTTACGAGGTGTCTTCTGACAGGAATAGCACAAGAGTTTTGGAAGAATGCTAACGTCATCCGAATACATAACAAAAGAGGTGACAAGAACTTGAAGAATTACAGGTGGATTTGCGTGCCCTTCGTAGTATAGAAGCTATTTACAGAGGTAATTGGTAACAGAGCTAAAAAACACTACAATTGAATCAACCAATAGAACAAGCAGGATTTAGAATAGGCTACTCAACAATCGACCAAATTCATACTATCAATCAGGTAATCAAGAAATGCTCAAAATACAGCCAATCATCATACATAGCCCTCAATAATTACGAGAATGCGTTCGATTCAGTAGAAATATCAGCAGTCATGCAGACGCTGCGTAATCAGGGCATCGATGAAGCATATATAAGCATCCTGGAAGAAATATACTGGGGATCAAATGCTACCATAGTGCTTCATAAAGAAAGCAACAAAATACCAATCAAGAAGGGTGTAGGGCAGGGTGATACTATGTCCCCAATGCTATTTGCCGCGTGCTTACATGATGTTTTCTGGGGCGTAAAATGGGAACAGGTAGGGATAAGAAATATTGGGTAGTACCCTAGTAACCTTCGCTTCGCTGTTGACTTTGCATTGGTGAGTTACTCAGGGGAAGAATCGCATATCATGGTTACGGAGTTATACAAGGAGAACAGAAAGTTGGGTCTTAAATTTAATCTGCAGAAAGCTAAAGTAATGTACAACAGCCTCGGCGAAAGCAGCGCTTCGAGAGATGTAATGTTGCACTTCAACTTGTAAAAGACAATGTCTACTTAGGGCAGGCAATAAGCGGGGAGCCGAACCACGAGAATCAAGTAACTAGAAAAATAAGAACGGGG